TATTTAGTAATTTGACAAAAAAAATTTTAAATTAATCCTGTGATTTGTAATTTCACCAAAAATATTATCAATTATAAAAGTAATTTGTAATTTGATCTATAAAATTACCAATTACTTAATTAATTTGTAATTGGATCCATCAAATTACAAATTACATGATCAATTGATAATTTCGAAAATAAAATGATCGATTAACACTGTAATTGATAATTTTATTTTTGACATCAATGATTATTCAGTAATTGATATTTTTTTTTTTTCTAAAGTATTTATTACAAAAGTCATTAATAATATCGCCGTATAATACTACAAAAAAAAATAGTAATGCCGAACCTTGCTTTCCTTTAATCCTAATTGTGGATTGAAGGCATATGGCTTCAAGGCACGGATTTGCATAAAGCTTAATATTGGTGATACCATTCTTTCTTCAAGATCAGAAATTTTTTGGATAGCTCTTGGTATATTTACGAATTTTAACCTAGTACTTGTAGATAATTTATAGATTTTACTATTATATGCTAAGTTTGTACATGTATTGCATACATAATCAGGAGGCAAATTTGTTACTTTTATCCAAAACTCAGTTCCACTTTTGTTCATGATCTTTGCTTATCCAATTGAACAACAGAATGCTTGAAAAATATACTTCCACTGCAACAACAGATTATTGATGGTGTTTCTTTTCTCCATTGAATGAACTGCGGTTTCAAGCAGGCCAATGAATTATTGTATTTATTTTTGAATGAACTATTGTTCATGTTTTCATTTGGTTTGTATGAACGGCAATGTCGAAGTATCCGCATTCTTTCACGGTTTATATTATTTTCACGTGTTTTATATGTAATTTCTCTTTGTAACATTTTCTTTTGAACTTTTGAATTAATACGATTTTGTGATTTTAAATTGTTCACTCCGTCTCAAAATTTGCATCCGATTTTCGAATACTTTAAAGTTTTCGTCACTTCGTAAGGACGACATACACTTTTGATTTCCAATACTTCCAAGTGCTCTATAATCATCATCTAAACGTAATAGTGACACTCGTACTTGAGATTTTTGATTTTCAGAGGCCCTCAAATCTCCGTCACTTCGCAATAATACGATTCTTTGTTGCGCTTTAATATTCTTAACTTGTCGATATTGCAAATTTTTTCGTAATGTACGCATTCTTAACATTGCTTTTTGATTCTCTGCGCTTCCAGAATTTGCGTTTGTTTGCAATGTCTATATTTATCCTCTTATTTATTTATTTATATTTATTAATTGATTTGTATATATGTTATTCTATTTTGTTATTTATTCTTTTACTTATTTGTTTATTTATTAATTATCTCTTCATTTGTTTTCTTTATGTATTTGTTAAATTGTTTGTTAACTTTTTATTTTTTATTGATTAATTTTTTTTATTCTTCTTCTTCGTATTTACATGTTCATTTATTTTTTTTTCTTTACTTATATGTTTATTCATTTATCAATTCATTCATTCATTTCTTGATTTATTTACTAGTTGATTCTTTTAAATTAACTTATTTATACATATGTTCGTTCTTTCTCCCATTTAATTGTTTTTTTTTTGTTTATTTATCTATTTTTTTATTCACTCCTATAGTCATATTCCGATTTTTTATCATTATTATTATTATTATTATTATTATTATCATTCACAGGTAGAGATAAGAATGGGGGTGCTCACTACACTTCCAAAGAGAAATGACATGCGAAGGGAAAAAAACGCAGGAGGATCTTCTGTCATAAGGTGAAGGGTTGACACTAAAGTAAGAGGAGGTGGTCGAAGACGAAGAGGAGGTTGATGATGGGAAGACTACACTTGGAATTGAGGGCGTGACGGTGGTGTCACCCTCTACCAGCATTTTCATGCTTATATTTGAAATGATAATAATAATACTAACACTAATAATTATCATCAAAATATTTTCATTAATAATAATTATTATAAAAGCAAAAAATGTGTTGTTTTTTCATTTTTTCCACTGGGAAGTTAGTCGTATGGACCTCTCGGGTCGCACCTAGACCACTGCAGATCACTGATATTTTCAGATTAAATCGATAGATTTACTTCAGTTTTTCTTTAAAGTAAAGGAAATTGCCTGAAGTTTTAGTTATTTTTGGAAGGTCATTATGTATCTGAAATCTACTAAAAGAAGTTGTATTTCGAATTCAGAAAATTTCGGATGGTCGTTCTTAAATGATTGAATGATATAGCTCGCTCCGTATGATGATGATGTATCATTGTTGACTCTTTCTGAATTCCTAATCTCTGTTGAATTCAGGGTGTCTGTAAGTCTTCAAACGTTGACTCTCGTTGACCGTTCGATTTCTGATTTAAACTTACAACGTCTGTCCTGGAGAGTTCTCGTGGAATTACTATAGGATGTACACAGTTAAAGCGTTTGTGTTTATAATCTTTTCTTCATCAATGGCCAAAATGAAATTAAGATAGGCACTAAGTGTCCATGGTATCCTATGAAGTTATAATAGTTGGTTTAAATTATTGAACTTACATTTTTGGAAATTCCTCGTGCAAGGTGAAATTGGTTGTTTTAATTATGTTGGATAATTTTTTTGGGAGTCGAATTTAATTTTAAAAGAATGCGTAGTCGGAATTTATTTGAAAATTCAACTTTACGAAGTGTGACCATTCAACGTAAATATAAATTGAACAATGAATTTACGATTAAATTATAAAATTTTAGAATAACTTTGATTCTGTAAGGAATTTTTCTTTGTTTAGTTCTATAACCTTCTAGTTCTGAGTATTTCCTACTCCCTGGGGTTTTTCCATTGGTTCCTTTCGTTGAAAAAGAAGAAAGGAAAGGGAATTGAAAATAAAAATTTCAATTTTTAATTTTCAGTTTGACTGACGGACGATTAGTTTTTAAGGAATCTCTAATTGTATGGAATTACGTTGGTAGTTTAACTTAGATCATTTTGGTCTGTTTGTAGGTTTTCACCCGTCGCAAGTTTTTTCTCCTGATTATTTATTTCATTTATTTTAAAGCAGATAAAGTTCAGAAGTAGCAGTATTAGAAGCTAGGCTGAATTTTTAATTTAAATTTCACTCTTTTAAACTGTATTGAATTTAAATAAATTCATTTAGTTTAAGATTTTTATTTCCAACTTAATTTAATTTCAGTCTGATCTAAGACTTCACTCAACTAATAGAAATTGCCGGGAGGCAGTTTTTAGAAGATCAAGAAAAGTGTAAAATATTTTCATGTCACCATCTAATGACTAATAGACTAATGATGGTTTTGTAGGATGTTGACGTTGCTTGCCGATGGAATTGTTGATAGTAACAAAGGGAGAGTTTGTTTATCTCCAGTTTTTGACTGAGACTTGAATCGATAGGACGTCTTCTCTTTCAATCAATTTATAGCTGTTCATCTTTTATAAACATTTAAATCATTTTATTAATTCCTAAAGTTAATATTTGGTTATAGTTTACAATATTTTTAGCTGTGAAATACCGAAAAATCAACTATTCTCTAAAATTTTTCCTCAAAATATTAGTTTTTCATGTAGATTACGACAAAAAATGAAAGAACTTGATTTTACAATGTCAGCGACCGCTACGGATGATTATATGTGGAAAGTTGCTCTTTTGATGTTTAGAGACATTAAACTCTACTTTGAATTTTTTTTCATAAATTCGCCGCAACACAAACAATGAAAAAGAAAAAACCTTCAAAAAAGTTAGGTTTTTGATTTTGTATGCTCAAAAAACCAAGTGACGCTGGAAGTGTACAATCACTAATGTAAGATAAGGACAACGAATTTTAAAACAGAAGGTTTATGGAATGCCAGATTTAAATACAGAATCGAAAATATGCCGTCTGAAGTTAGCTAGTCTTAGTCATAAACAAAAATATACAAACCAGTCGCGCACTGACAACACCAAATACTATCGTTTGTCAATCCATTAATCGATGGACATACATATATCTTACAATATTATTGTTCGGTGAAGAGAATTCTAGCAATATTCAAATTTCAAGGTTATCGAGGGTAAAGGAAAGAAGGGTCAGCTGCATAATTACCTTCATGACAGGATCAATGATGGTAGAGTAATTAACAAACATAAATCATAAGAAAAACGAAGTGTTGAGATATCTGCTTATGGATTAGCAAGAACAAATTGAACATCTATTTTTCAAACAGATTTGTATTTGAACGTAAGACTAATCCGTAAGAAAACGGTTATTGACTAAAAAATAATAAAGTCGTGTGTTTTTTCGAATTAAAATTTACACAAATAATAGAGGTATACTAGTACGTACTAACAAAGCACAATTTTCATGTTTTTTTTTTATAAATTCGAAACAGAAAAATATCAAATTACTCGTTTACTCTTCAACTTCGATAAAAATATTTTGAGAGAGAATTTTATCTCTTACTTTTGTGTGAGTGTGACACAGTAGTTTTATGACCCTTCGATTGTTTAAGTTTTAATCACTATCGTTATCAACAAAATCAATAACTATCACTTATTTGATTTATTCTGTCATAAATATGAAGTAAACTTTCGAAAAAGTTTTCTTCTGCATAAATTTTATTTATTGTTCATAAACTCCATCAAGTCGCTGATGTGTATAATGAATATCACGAATATTTACGTTGCGTCACATAAATGTTCCCAAATTGCTGCTAATGTATATAATGCAGACACTTTTGCAACACAAAGACACAAACTACGTCCCTATATTTCCAGATAAATTTACTACACCATCAGTTTCGTATACACAGCTATCATCAATCATAGACTCTTAGAAGGAGAAAGATGAATTATTATGTAAGTTTACCTTATTACTAGACATTCATGAGTGTTTATGGATTATACACTTAGATAGAGAAACAATATTTTTAACAATGTAGTATCGTTTATTGAGATATCGAACACGAAATTCATAAATATAAAGATTTCGAATAAATACAGTCGAAAAAAATCTTACGATTAAAAATGTATGAAATTTCTGTTGCAGAGATGCATTGCTGACCAGTGCAATAAATAGTGCGACTTCATTTATTGCTGGTTTTGTCATTTTTTCCGTTCTTGGATATATGGCTCATGCAAGCGGGAAGTCTATCGATGAGGTAGCTACAGAAGGCCCAGGTCTTGTATTTATTGTGTATCCTGCTGCCATTGCTACCATGCCCGGGTCAGTTTTTTGGGCATTAATATTCTTTATGATGCTTTTGACTCTTGGCCTCGACAGCTCGGTACGTTTAACATGCAATTAAATTGTAGCAATACTAATTTGATTCGTAATTATAATAATAATTTGGAAATATTTGAATACTAGTCTCTTATTCTTTTGGATAACTTCTTTGAGACTTGCGAAATCATGAAATAAACAGAGATCTATTAGAAAGTATCAGACATATTTCTATAATTCTCTATTATTAATTAGTCAAAAATATCAATATTTATTTATTAATAGTTGTATAAATATAAAGAAATGTCTGTTGATTCTTCCGTATTTGAATTAGTGTACTTGTCAGTATGATATTATGATATCAGAGACGATTCGTTCCGCCACCTTTCAAATCCATGATGCTCAGCAAATAGAAGGTATGTACAACATAATGATCTTTGAAGACATTGCATGAAGAATTATGTCTTAAACTATTGCTACGATGGACTTCAGCGAATAAGCATATTTCGTTTATTTCTCATTTTTTAATAAGTGTATGTTCAACGCGATAGACACCATTACGAAAATTGTGAAGCATCTTTTTCTATGTGTTACTTGATCTTTTATTGATATCAAGCTCCATTCCTTAAGATTTTGCGGTTATAAACGCCACTTGATTTAAAGTATTCCTTTATGGCTGGAATTTATATATTACACTTTTTTTTGGGTAATTGTTTAGATTAGGTTGTACACGACCGATTTCCTCGAAATTTTAGTATATTGTGGGAAAATAATGCGTATTAATTTGATATATATTCACATATGGCACGCGGGAATCATTCTTTCATATACTTTTTTAAGGTTGAAAATTTAAATAATAATGTGTATTAGATCTTATCACGGTAGCCCTTTTTCCGACAATAATAAAATCATCGCGCTAGAATTTACACGACACCTTGATTTTTATTTACATTTGTTTGTTTTTGTGTACTTTGATGATTTGCCTAATTAAAAAATTAGAAATACTATAAATATTTTATTAGTGAAAACATTGAAGCGAATATGATCCCACAGTATTCATTTTTGGAGCTCGCTGGTGATCGTGAAAAATTAGTCGATTTTTTAGGTGATCAAAAAGTGCTAAGGCGTGAAATAATCTGACATAGTGTGGTCAATTGCCTTCTATAAATCGCGAGTCTTTACCTTTTCGATGTATCTTGAGTTATTATCAATACATCGAAAACAGCAGCGTGACAGGGTTCGCTGTCCACTTTCCTTAAGTGCACTAACAGGAACATGGTTCTATGAAATGCATATTAACATTCAACATACGTGCAGAATAATTACATATTTTTTGAATCACCGACCACCACATCAAGCCAAATTGATGGAAGATTCCAATGTTTCATCGACCACCGGAGTCGATTGGAGTTCATATTGTCGAGAGGTTTATATCATTTATTTTATCCAGTTAAAAAGACGATTATGTCAACTAAGATTCGTGTTCATTTTTTGAGGTTTGTGAGTTTTAGGTAAACCGAACGTCAATAAGAATTGGCGGTGGAGGGCACATTGTGTAGCTGGATGAAGTGCATTCTGATAAAAGAAATACCACGAGGGCCGTATCATTCGAGCAACGTGGGTATTTGGAGCAATAGATCCGGTGACCACGGAGTGCTTTATTCGGACTATGACGAATAGATCCGCTAAGGATCTGCAAGAAATCATCACGCGACGCATTGTTCCCGGCACTACGATTATTTCCAATTATTGACGAGGGTATAGCAGGCTTTCAAGAGAACGGTGGATGCACCTAACGGTAAACCGCCGATATAATTTCGTAGACCCTATAACCAATGCTCATACTCAGAATATTGAGCGACTTTAGCGAGATATTTGAGATAACATACCACGTTATAGAAAAACTACATTTCATTATCATCAGTATTTTGGAGATTTTTTATTCAAAAGACATCGATTTTCAGCGCTGTCCATTTTTGCCTGCCCACGATAGACAGGTACTCTTGCAAACTTTTTTCGAAAAGAATTCGATTCTTCACAAAAAAGATGTTAACTTTTTTTTACATCCGTCATCGGGCTCGCTACGTAAGCGGTAAAAAAACGCAATTTGCCAAACTTTGACAATCGATAAACAATAGTAATTATTATGCCCGAATATTTAAAATTAACACAAACGCTCTCCTTATTTTCCTCTGCAAGAATCTAGAATCAAGAAATTTTTATTTTCATTCCATAACTAATGGACGATAGCATAGGACTTACATTTACGCATATGCATTGAATGATATGCATTGAACACATGAACACTTTAAGTTCGTCTTCAACGTATTAAAATGTCACTCAAGTATGTGTTAGATATAAGATTTATCCTTAAACTATTCTATGATTAACAATTATTCTTAATCGATTTGGCAAATCTACAAAATTTCAACGTTGAATAGCCTAGCCAGTAAGGATAGGCATGATTGTGCCGGAACAGAGCTATTGAGAAGTCAGGTGTACAAAAATATATTAATCTTTATTTAGTAGTATTATACGTGAACAATAATTACACTGTACAAGTGGTAGTCACTAAAACTGAATGAATATCACTTACCAGTTACCGAATAGTAACAAAATGCTATGGATCACTGAATGATAATTGAATGTCTAAAAAATTGGTTTAACTTGGTGTGTTCAGTATTATTGACCTCCCACACGAGCTCAACACGCTTCCTAAGTCAAGCAAGATTATAATTGTGCACGTCGCGTTAGCCTATCACGCAATGAAAAATGAATTTAAATTTAATTACTTCTATTTACTAAGAATTGTCTAGAATTATTGGACACTGAATTTTAGTAAATTGAGTGACTAGTTCGAGAACTATTGATATTTAGGTCGATTGGTTATCGACCTAGTCCCAAAATGGCCGCCGAAGTTCCTGTCAGCTGGCAATTCAAACTTGAGAATTGATTAATTCTCAACACAATCAATGAGCAGGTTTTTTTAAAACATTATGTTAGTCCACTTTACAAATTTTCCTATTAACTATTGAGGAACAATAAAATTTTCATTTGAAAAATATCATTCCCGAGTTAAAATTCCTTATTATGTTCAGACTTTAATTTAATTGAATGAATACATAAATAATATTTTAATAGCAATAATTTGTTTTTTTTATTTTACCTTTACATGGAGTGCGTCTGAAGATAAAAAAAAAATTAATAATTTTTACTAAGGAAACATTTATTGAAATAAAAAGAATGATATTAAAAATATTTGATAGCAACCAATTAATAAATTATGCAGAAAAAAAATGTTGATAAAAACGTAAATCTACCATTTATTACTAAGAAAATATAAAACAGAAAAATGAAATCGAAACCAATTTAAAATCTACAGTTTATAAACTATAAATTATTAATACCGGAAATGTAATAGCTGCTCTAGTGATGAAAGTAGCGATGATGGTGATAGTGGTAGTTGTTGTTGAGGGCGTTTTAATACAAGTTGGAACAACGGCATGCTTGAAGTTTCTTGCAGTTGTAGAGCATTCAGGCCTTGCAGCCGTTGCGATTGTACAATCACGTTCTAATTGATTGAATATTGATTTGAAATTGGGACTGATGCGATTTCATCCAGAATAAACTCACCGTTTGGGCCTCTGAAGCTCTGTATATCTATCAAAACTTCCGTTTTTTTTTAGAACTTCAAACTGCCACGACTGAAGAGGAACTTAAAATTATCTTGTTTTTGCTTGGAATTTATATAAATTTCCCCCTCCTTCAACTAAATTGCGTCTTCCAGAAATTCTATGATTAGCTGTTACATATTACTGCGTAGTTATTTAATGCGACCGTAATATTTTTTTTTTACATGACATTGTTTCTGCGGGTTCAAACTTGTTATCGCACAATAAGAAAATAACGCTGTAAATAAATTAGTTATGCCCAACATTCACGCGTCTTAATTCATCGAATTATTTATTTTAACCTTTTTTCAAAACATCAGCGAAATATGAATCCTCTTCGATTTAACACACTGTTTCATATAAAATCCATTTCAAAACTCCACAGTTTTTTTTTCCAATGTATTAGAACTTATTACAGCATTGATGAGGAAACGGGGTTGTTTTCTATTTCTGTTCTAAATTTCCCCTACAGCTTTTTCAATCCACGAGCCAATCAACTGCTATAAAAGCCGTCAAAAATTATCACGTTTTGGTTAGTCAGCAACCTAGACGGTGAAATGCAGGCTCGATTGCCCCGCGCTTGCTGACCACGACGCGTTAGTAAGTTGAGAATTCTACTAAGATTTTCCCCAGTCATGCTCATGTAGTGTCTGTTAGCACAGACCTCTAGGATCTATTCAAAATCTGATATGGAATCCTCTTAATGCAGAAATTTTAGTGATTAAGAAGCCGAGAGAGACACTTCAATGAGAAGGGAACTCGAAAGTAAGCAAATTTTAAAATGTGAAAAAAGACCAGACAATTGTAGGAGTTAAATCTTTCCAAACGAAAAGTATCGAAATTTTACCGAGTACAGAGTTCAAGAACAAGTTCGATGATAATATATAATTTAGCGACTGTTGAATGAACTCAAAAACTTCTATCATAAAGACAGTAGGTAGAGTTTCAATGAAATTATAAACCTAACGATCAAAATTTCTTGGTATGGATTGCTGAAAGGAGGTTTATCAGCATAAGTTAAATTTCCTCTGGATGTATCAATTAAACGTGCGGTTGTCAGGATTCGAAACGTTTGAGAATATTATTTTTTGTCCCGCATCACTGCAGCTTTACATCCACACAAAGTGGCTTATTCCGAAATAACAACTTTATATATGTGTTTTGTAATTTTGCTCTTTAAAGTTCTCAACATGTAAACTATATGCTTACCTGCAAAGACGTTCAATTCCTCTTTTTAGTCCCAGTCTTTCGGCCAATGAACAAAGATGAGGGGATTTTCGATAGAAAAAGTAAAAATGTGTGATTTATATAAAAAGAATAACAAAAATTATCAAAAAATTATAATAACAATTAAAACATTACGAACAGATGATTTCTTTCAGTCTGGTCGAGA